CCTGGAAGAGAGTACAGGTTTTTTAAAAAGCAGTGACGTCAGCCAGGCAAAGCGGCTCATGCCTCCAATCCCAGCACTTTGGGAGCTGAGATAGATGGATCGTTTGAACCCAGGAGTCTGCAACCAGCCCGGGCAACAAGGTGAAACACCATCTCTGCAAAAAATACAAAAATTAGCTGGGTGTGGTAATGCATGCCTGTAGTCCCAGTTACTTGGGAGTCTGAGGTGGGAGGATCGCTTGAGCCTGGAGGTGGAGGTTGCAGTGAGCCAAGATCACCCCACTGCACTCCAGCCTGGGTAACCAGAGTGAGACCCTGTCTCAAAACAAAAACAAAACAACACAAAAAAAATCAAAGTCATGACTTCACGTGCCTCTGGCATGTGGCCCTTTCGAGGCAGTGGACATAGATGAAGGTAAACTGTCTCTTACATTAGGGAAACATGACAGCACATTCCCTGGGGACAGCTTCAAATCAAGGCCCACACAGACCAGTGAATAACCACTTCATTCAATGTGCAAAGCCATAGTCTGACATTCTGCATCAATCAGGCAGGGCTAGAAGAAGCATACAAACCAACTCATTCAGCAAGTTTTGTAAACACAAGTCCTATACCAGCCACCTTGCTGATGAGTGAGACACAGTTTGTCTCACAGTCTGGACACACTCCAGGAGCTCATGAACTCATGTGAGAAGAAAATAAGCAACTCCAAAATTGTGAGACCCCAAGATGCTAGACAGACGCGGCTAGTCCAGGGTGCCATGAGAGAAGAAGTAATCCAGGGTGCCATGAGAGAAGAAGTAACTCAAAGTGGTGGAGCCAGTGAGGGTCACATGCTGGCAGCAGTCAGGGAAGAGTGAAAGAAAGCACATCTGAAACACAGAAAGATCCATCTACAAAAGTGGAAGGGTTGGCCAGGCATGGTGGCTCACACCTGTAATCCCAGCACTTTGAGAGGCTGAGGTGGGTGGATCACCTGAGGTCAGGAGTTCAAAACCAGCCTGGCCAACATGGTGAACCCACATCCCTACTAAAAATACAGAAATTAGCTGGGCATGGTGGTACACACCTATAATCCCAGCACTTTGAGAGACTGAGGCAGGTGGATCACCTGAGGTCAGGAATTCAAGACCAGCCTGGCCAACATGGCAAAACCTCATCTCTACTAAAAATATAGAAATCAGCTGGGTATGGTGGCACACACCTGTAACTCCAGCTACTCGTGAGGCTGAGTCAGGAGAATCGCTTGAACCTGGGAGGTGGAGGTTGTAGGGAGCAGAGTTTGCACCACTGGACTCCAGCCTGGGCGACAGAGACTCTGACTCAAGGAAAAATGCAAAGGTGAGAGGTGGCCAGGAATTACCCAGGAAATCATAAGAAGTACCATGTGCTGAAATGCAACAACTAATCAAGTATTTATACCAAAGCCAAAAAACAAAACAAACTTTTTTTTAAAGATAGAGTTTTGCTCTTGTTGCCCAGGCTGGAGTACAATGGTGCAATCTCAGCTCACTGAAACCTCCACTTCCTACATTCAAGCGATTCTCCTGCTCAGCCTCTTGAGTAGCTGCGATTACAGGCATGCACCACCAAGCCCAGCAAATTTTTATATTTTTAGTAGAGATGGGGTTTCACCATGATGGCCAGGCTGCTCTCGAACTTCTGACCTCAGGCAATCCACCTGCCTTGGCCTCCCAAAGTGTTGGGATTACAGGCGTGACCACCGTGCCTGGCCCCCCAAAATTTCTAACAACACAAAGCAAACTAACAGTATTTCCATGCCTATTTGAAATGAAAAATACTGATTCATATAGTTTGGTCCAATATAGATATGTGCCATCTCTATAATCTGTCCATTTGGCTACATTAATATAAATTATAGTTTTATTTTAAACATCATTATTCTCAAATACTAATATCTTAGAATCATCGTTGTAGGGAATTGGGATATTCAGAAACATTTGGATTTTCACTTTTGTGTTAGTAAGAAGCATACATGCTTTTTGTTTTAAGAACATAGTGAATGGAAGATCAAGTGAAAATAATGTCCTCTGTGTTTCTACTTAACCCAGCTCCCACACATGGGGAGTGGGATCTATTGTACTAAACAACCCATAATGTGAAAACATAGTAAAAATTCTAAAACCATTGAACAAGAATAGCAAAGTACAAAAATTCGGTATAATGTATACAAAAACTTACCTTCTCAAATTGGTAATAAGATCTGAAAATGACTTTTCCCAGGCATACATTTTTATTATCCTTATGCCAGTTATAACTTCATTCATGGTCCTGATCCTGACGTCCGTGAAAGTTGCAGTTTTACTCCTAAAGGGGACAAGACATGGGAGATGAGCCCGAGCAATCACAGCCTGCCCTTATCAGCAGCAGGCACAGGCAGGGACCCATGTCACGTGGTTCCCTACAGCGCTTTTGCTTCCAACAACACAGACAGGTCCTACTCAAAATACAAATAGAAAAAGACTTCGATTAGGAAGTCAACAATCTATTCCAACTCAGTAAGTATTTTGGAGCATTTGCAATATCTGCTGAAGAAGACATGAAAATGAGTCAGATGTAATCTGTCCCCTTGAGGAGCTCACAGGTGCACAGGGAAGGCAGAAAAGCACCCGAACATGACGATAACACGGTGGGCGGAGCGTAATAACAAGGGAATGAAGTGCTGGGGAGCAGAAAAGAAAGCGCTGTTTGTCAACTCCACTGGGAAAGAGGAGAGCAAAAAAAAGCTTCAGAGGACCGGGAGCATTTGAAAGGGCCTCAAAGGACATGGAAATATTTCTCCAGATGGCAAAGAGGGGAAGTTCCAAGTGAAAAATACACCATAAGCAAGAGCATAAAACAAAGAAATGAATGCACACCTAACAGCGGCACATCTCCATCCAGCTGTCAACCTTCACAATGACTCATTTCCAATTCACTGGGACTTGCTTCATGCCTAAATTATTTTATCATCATTAACCTCTTGACCAACAGCTTTATTTCTCCCTCCCTTCCTTCCTTCCATACAGAATCTCCATAATCTTGGCTCACTGCATCCTCTGCCTCCTGGGTTCAAATGATTCTTGAGCCTGAGCCGCCCGAATAGCTGGAATTACAGGCATGTACCACCACACCCAGCTAATTTTTTAAATTTAGTAGAGACAGGGTTTCACCATGTTGGCCAGGCAGGTCTCAAACTCCTGGCCTCAGGATTACAGGCGTCAGCCACCACGACCAGCCAACAAACATATCCTAACACATATGCTACTAGGACTGTATAGGACTGTGTAATTTTATAAATATATCATTCAAATTTTTCTTGCCTTTGGGGAGCTTACAATTTAATGGATGTATTGAATTAAAAATAATACAGATGTATACACATGTAAAAGTAGCTCTACTACAAGCACGGTAAAGATGTATGCAGCTAGAGTGGAGCCTATGAAATATTTCAATGTATTATTCTTCATTATATGTTGAACTAACTTCTACATATGTGATTTCCACATAAGGACACTCTACTTATTGTGGCCACGGAGCCTGAATGCTGGCTGGGAGGAGCCAGTGAATACCTTCGCCTTTGCCCACTGAAGATTAGCCTTCAGCGTAAGGATGGAGGCCCCCTTGGCTAAGCCTGGAGAGCTGCACATATGCAAAGAAGAGATAATAAAAGGCATTTAGTTTGTTTCTGAACAAAAGCATTGGGAAGACTGTGGATGTTACCACATACATAGGGCATTTCTCACACCAGTATTTCTCTTACCTCAGTGATGAGAACAACTTCCCGAAACAGCTTTGCAAGGGCAGAAGGACAATTAGAACTGCCATCCCAGCAAGGCACGATATTCCTATCTCCATCCAGAGCAGGGCCGTCACTGCGATCGCCTGCAGTGGTCCTGCCCACAGGAAGTGTAAGAACACTGTCACCTTCAAAGAAAAAGACAGCGTTCTTAGGACTCTAGAAAAGCAGAATCAGTAAGAACGCAGTAGAGAAACGGTCCGCTGGGAAAGAACGGCAAGATCCTGAACAGAAATGACCACAGTGGGTTGACACCTGCTAAAGCGGAAAGCCAGGCACCCACCACAGATGAAGCCATGCTGGGGAAGCAAAGAGCAGGTCTGGGGGACTCGAAAGAGAATCTGACCAGTGGCATTAGAAGAAGATCTTGATCATGACTACGTCCCGGATGAGCTGAGCACTTTCCAGAACTCTCTGTCACAGAACTCAGCTCCCATATGCCCTGGGGCTCCCCAGTATCCCAAGAAAGCCTGTACTAGTGTGCCCACCACATACTCCAGTAATTTACTTGTGTATTTGTCTCCCTGACAGGCTGTGAGCTTCTTCAGAACCGAAACCAACTCTTATTCATCGTCCCTGACACTGAGCGAAGGCTTTTAGTTCACGTCTGATGAGTGAATAAATGGGGGGGCGGGGGGGGAGTGGCCGGGCATGGTGGCTCACACTTGCAATCTCAGCACATTGGGAGGCCAAGGAGGGAGGATCACCTGAGGTCAAGAGTTTGAGACCACCCTGGCCAACATGGTGAAACCTCATCTCTACTAAAAATACAAAAAAGAGGGAAAAAAAAAATTAGCCAGGCATGGAGGCACATGTCTATAATCCCAGCTACTCAGGAGGCTGAGGCAGGAGAATCACTTGAACCCAGGAGGCAGAGGTTACAGTGACCTGAGATAGTGTCACTGCACTCTAGCTTGGGCGACGGAGGGAGACTCCGTCTCAAAAAAAAAAAAAAAAAAAAAGGTGGTCTTAATGCAAAACAGATATGGCCAACAGCTAGAATGCCCTGGATAACATGATACCTCCACAAGGTAAATGTTAAAGAATGGACACTGGGCAGGTACGGTGGTTCATGCCTGTAACCCCAGCACTTTGGGAGGCCAAGGTGGGAGAATTGCTTGAGGCCAGAATTTTTAGACCAGCCTGTGCAACAAGGCAGGATTCCTTCTCTACAAAAAAAAAAAAAAGAAATTAGCCAGCAATCCTTTTGTAGTTCATGAGCCTGAAAATCGGGTGTTTACGCACATGTGTGAGACGTGCCACCCTTGAATTTTGTTATGACATCACCACGTTAGCCCATCTGACATGGAAATTCAAAAAAAGAGAAAGAAATTAGCTGGGTGTGGTGGTGTGCACCTGCAGTCCCTGCTAATCAGGAGGCTGAGGCAGGAGGATCACACATCACTCGAGCCCAGGAGTTCAAGGCTGCAGTGAACTATGATCCTGCCACTGCAATCCAGTGTGGGCAACAGAGTGAGCCCCTGTCTCCAGAAAGAATAAACAGAGCGGGAAGGGCGTTTAATGCAATGAAAAAGGATCCCTGACCTGCAGCTTACCTGATCAAACTTGTTCACATCATTGGACAGCAGATTGACTATCTGGCCTGTGGTTGTCTTCCCCATGGCCACATTACTAAGACGAAGTGCCTGAAATAAAAGAGGTAAGTCGAGAATTGTATTCATACAGGGATACTAAGTCAGGCTTAGGACACTGCAGACCTGAGGAAGTCTTGTGTGAGGTCAAGACCAGATAACTCAAGACAGCTGCTCTAAGGACCAGCATTTCTACCCGCCCCTCCGCTCCTCCCCCACCCCACTACAACCCCAGTGTCTTTAATGGTGGCAGTTGTGTCCTGCCAGGACCGCAAGGTGAAGAGTGGGAAGGAGAAGAAAAATCTCCCACCCCATTTAATGAATTCAGACATGTTCCCAAGTACAAAAGGACATAAGTTTCTACTTGAGAGCCAACCAAAGTAATTTTGAGCCAAATTAGAGAGGAGCAGGGAGGCTGTCAGAGGAACCAAATGAGAGGACATGGCCTACAAATCCGTACCAATCACTAATCCTCTGAACAACATTATTAAAACACACTGGGCCTTAGTCTCTTCACCTTGCCTGGATCACAGGGTTTCAATGTGATCAATGTGAAATGACAAATATTTATGGAGTTTCAACTATGTGGAAGACACCAGGAGCCCCAACAGATAAGTTGACACAGTCATGTTTTCTTGTCTTGGGAGACAGGGCTAGGTAGGTCCAGACACCTGTGATTCAACTGTGACTTGCACAGAGAACTGGGGACAGTTCCAACTGAGGGACACTGGGTGGGAGAGACCTTGAACGATGAAGAAGGGACTTTACGGAGGGAAGGGAAGGGTGCTGTGGGGGAGGCCTAGCTAGGACGTAAGTACAGAGAAGGGGGATGTGGCGGCTGCTGAACAAAGAACTGCCCAAACCTGGCTGAAGTAGGTGAACCTTAAAAAAGGCAATATGGAAGAGTATGTGTGGTTTTTCAAGTTAGAGGGAGAAACTGAAGGAAGATTAAACAGTACAAGTGATTGGCCAGGAGACTACTGGAAGAAGGAGAATGAGTTGCTGCTAGAATAATAGTCCAGGCAAGAGGCAACAAGACTGTCCACCAGGACTATGTAAATGGGGAAAGAAAGGACCAGAGTGAAAACATTTTTGAAAAGTTAAAAAATGGCCAGGCACAGTGGCTCACACCTGTAATCCCAGCACTTAGTGGGGGGAGGGGAGCAAAGGCAGATCACTTGAGGTCAGGAGTTCAAGACCAGCCTGGCCAACATGGTGAAACCCTGTCTCTACTAAATATACAAAAATTAGCCAGGCATGGTGGTATGCACCTATTATCCCAGCTACTCGGGAGGCTAAGGCAGAAAAATCACTTGAATCCAGGAGGCAGGGGTTGCAGTGAACCGAGATTGCACCACTGCACTCCAGCCTGGGCAACAGAGTGAGACTCTGTCTCAAAAAAAAAAAGAAAAAGAAAAATTTAAAAATTGCTATTATGCAAATATAAGTGAATCAACAATATAAAGAGAAGAAAAGGTGGGGGTAAGGGAGAAGAAGAGAGGGAAGGAGACCAGCCTGCCCCTGCAGGAAAAAAACAGAACCTAACGTGACTTAGTGACTACAAACTACCTGTAAATACTTACACAGCCAGTCTTACGTACAAAAATGTTAATTCCACATGCAGAGAGTACACCACGTTTTTTAAAGCATGTAAATTTAATTCCTAATTTTAAGATAATAAAAGCAAAATGTCAACAGCAAACTAAGCCTAAACTGACCATTCTCAAGAAATCTGAAATCAACTGTCCCCAACTTGAACTATCATCCACAGACTGTGTCTGCTGCCAACAATGAGGATTAAAGATGGCACAGATGTCAATCTGTGAAAAAGACAAAGTTCCTATGGCTGCACCAGGCAGCCTACCTGTAATTCATGTATTACTGCGACCAGGTGTAGAGGTAGAGTAAGGCTGGGCAGATACTTGGGTTGTAACAGAAGTTAACCTAAATGAACGATAACTCTACAGTCAATGCAGAAATTAGGAGTCTGCTGAAACAAAATCGGGCATACTCCAGATAGGATTAAAAAAAAAATCATGAAGTGCCATGAATATTACCTTTATTTATTTATTTATTTTTGAGATGGGAGTCTTGCTCTGTCGCTGAGGCTGGAGTGCAGTGGCGTGATGTCGGCTCACTGCAACCTCCGCCTCCCAAGTTCAAGCAATTGTCCTGCCTCAGCCTCCTGAGCAGCTAGGACTGTGTGCACCACAGGTGTGCACCACCACACCCAGCAAATTTTTGTATTTTTAGTAGAGACAGGGTTTTACCATATTGGCCAGGCTGGTCTTGAACTCCTGACCTCATGATCCACCCACCTTGGCCTCCCAAAGTGCTGGGATTACGGGCGTGAGCCACCGTGCCTGGCCACCATGAATATTATTAATGAGGAAGACACAGCTAACAAGCAAACTGCCAGGCTTCTGCTTCCAACCATGAGGGAGGACTTATCCTCCCTTGGCAACTGCAACATGGGGTGAAACATATGACACAGCTGTTCTCAGGCACTGGACTGCAGGTAACACAGGGCTGTGAGCCTCAAGAAACGGGAAATATAAGTGGTGGTCTGGGACTGACCTGGCTTTCTGCCTGGGGACATTTTCTGCTCAAGAAGAACTGCAGTTTCACTGGGCTGTGGAGGAAGAAATGGTTGTTCTAAGTTGTAGAAGCGTCTGGAATCTGTGAGCCTGAGTAACAGAGAGTTTGCCCCAGAAGTTTCAATAGGGATTTACCCAGGGTAAATCCACAGCTTCCCTGTCCATAAGCAGGGCCAGACTCCATGAGGCCTAAGAAAGCAGCAGCTATGGGGCTGAATGCCGACTGAAGATTCTGGAGGTCATGCAGTAGGAGATGCCGCCCAATGAGAGGAAGGAAATCTCTGCTGGGGCCTCAGGCATTCAACTGAGACACCAGGAAGGCTATGTCTTAGTAATAAAGATCTCACCCTAGACTAACTGCTGTGCACTCGGAATTAGTTCAAAATGGAGCTACCTGACCTATGATTAGCTGATTGACAGACAGACAGATGGATTCAATGCTAAAGGGCCCAATCTGCCAGGAATTTAACTACCTACATGAACAAAACTCAATGCTCTTTAATCCAGACTCCCTATAGTGTATTGATCATCATGTTCAACATAGTAAAACAATTATTAGATATGCAAGGAAACAATAAAATGTGACGTGTAATCAAAGGAGGGAAATGGCAATAGAAATAGACCCTGAAACTATCTAGATTTTGGAATTGGTAAACAACAATTATGAAACATCCCCTATAAAATGTCAAACAGTCAAAGAAAAATGCAGTTATAACAAGTAGATGTAATTTTAGGAGCGAGATAGATAATGCCGAAAAGAACCAAATGGAAATTCTCAAACTGAAAAAGTAACATCTGAAATGAAAAGGTAATTAGCTATCATTAATAGCAGATACTTTCCATTGATTTAGTCCCAGAGGCACTAACCGTTTCTTCTTTAGTTTACAATCTGAACTCTGAAGAACAAACAGGAAAAAAAAAGAATTAAGAAAAAGAACAAAGACTGACGGTCTGTAAGGAAGAATATTAAGCAATGAAATATTCATGTAATTGAAGTCCTAGAAGAAGAAGAAATAGGGAAGAAAAAAGTATTTGAGCAAATAAAGACTAGAATTTTACCAAAGTTGGTAGTAAATATTAATTTATATAATTAAGAATCTTAGCAAGTTCAATGAAGGACAAAAACAGAGAGATCTATACCTAGACATACATTACACACAGAGAAACAACAAACAACCAGCAACTGACACACCAGCAACAATGAAAACAAGAAGACAACAGAACAATATTTACAATGCTGAAAGAAAGACCAAAAAAAAAAAAAAAAAAAAAAAAAAAAAGCTGGCCAGGTGCAGTAGCTCATGCCTATATTCCCAGCACTTTGGGAGGTTGAGGTGGGTTGATCACTTAAGCCCAGGACTTCGAGACCAGCCTGGCCAACATGGTGAGACCTCGCCTCTAATAAAAATACAAAAATCAGCCAGGCATGGTGGTGGGCACCTGTAATTCCAGCCACTTGCGGCGGGAGGAGGGAGTCAGGCAGGAGAATCACTGGAACCTGGGAGGTCGAGGTTGCAGTGGCCAAGATCACACCACTGCACTCCAGCCTGGGTGACACAGTGAGACTCTGACTCAAAAAAAAAAAAAAAAAAAAAAAAAATCTGTCAACCCAAATTCTATAACCAATAAAAAATGTCCTTTAAAATATGTAAAATTACAACATTTTCAGATAAAGGCTGAGAAACTTTATCAGCAATAAACCTGAAGTATAAAAAAAAAAAAATGTAAAGAATATTTTTCAAGTTAAAAGGAGACAATATCAGATGGAAACTCAGATCTACAGAAAGAATAAAGAGAAACCAAAATGACAAATGTGAGTAAATATAAAAGACAGGCCAGGCATGGTGGGTCATACCTGTTGTCCCAACAGTTTGGGAGGCTGAGGCAAGCAGATTGCTTGAGCTCAGGAGTTCGAGACCAACCTAGGCATCATGGCAAAACCCCATCTCCACAAAAAAAACAAAAATTCTCTGGGCGTGGTGCCACACCCTTGTAGATCCAGATACTCGGGGAGGGGGGGGGGGGTGGGCACTGAGGTGGGAGAATCACGGGAACCCGGGAAGTGGAAGCTGCAGTGAGCCAAGGTCATACCACTGCACTCCAGCCTGGGTAGAAGG